TACGTCATATGCTTCGTTGATCTGATTGGTTTATTTGGCCCGTCTATCACCAACATAGGCCAATCAGCTAACCAGTAGTTTCGCCCAAGTATCAATATCAATGGTCTGTGCATCATATTTTAATTGCCTAGATAAGTGATTTTTAACCAATTTTTACAAGACTACTTCAGTGACTAGTAACACCAGAACCATAATTCTGTCTGATGCATTAAAGAGAGAACGGTTTTAAACTTTTTTTAGTTTGTATTGTGTTGTTCTTCCCATCCATTACTTGTAATAGATATTGTGCACTTGGTCTAAAGATTTTGTTTCAGGGATTTCTAACCAACCCTGATATTAAAATCCAAAATTACAGCAATGTGTATAAAAAGAGTATTAGCCTCAGTAATAATCTATGGATTTGCTTTTCTGATGCAAATAGGCATGCATGGTTGTTGGTTTGTGTTTCACACTTCCTCATAGCAGTAGATTTTAACAAGCCCAGCTGCCATTATGCAAGGATTAAGTGGGTATAAGAAATAGATGGATTAATTACACTTAAACCTCAAAACATAAAGATGCTGCTTTATTGTTCAAATAAACAAAATATAGAGAAACATACTGCTGTTTGCTTGTTTTGGTGACACCTAGTTTATCACCAAGCATACAGTAGCAAATAATGCAGACCGCCAGTTTTCCAACCACCGACTAAATCTAGTTAAACTGGGTTTGATGTCCCAGATCCAAGTTCCAACTTCAAAGGTAAGTTAATTGCCAATAGATATGTCTCTTTACTTACTATTCTACACACCTCTCTACAGTTTTCAGACATTTGGATTTAGACATCTTCTGCTTTGTTTTTCACCATTTTATTTCTTAAAAACTTTATGTACTTTGAATATGATGTGCTCTCAACTAACCTCTGTTTGCACAGTGCATATATATTTTTTTCATTTAGCTTCAAACCTTCCTTTCCCATCAGTGTGAAACTGATTTAGTTTGGCAGTGGAGCTAACCCTTGCCTTTCCATTGCAAATGTAAACTTATCCATCAGCTCTGATTTATCAGAGGTGTTTACAGCTGTTTTTTTCTTGTGCCGTCACCTCAGTCTTCATCCCACTCATCAGCTGTAACCCCTGCTGCAACCTATTACGAACTTGACACCTTTTAAACCAATTAGAGCGTGGAGGCAAAAGCAAAATTGTATAAAGTTAAGATAAATAAATCAATAAAGAAACAGACAATTTTCAGCAAAACCCTCTCCCAACAGCAATGGATATTAGCTTGAGTAAGTTACATAAAAATAAATAAATCCTTTATAGAAAATTAGGGTCTTTTATTGAAAAAGATAAACCTTCCTTGAATAGATATTCCGTTGGGAGCTACTGCAAGCTGCACACCATTGTTTTTCTATCCACTAATTTAGCAGGATGTGCAGCAGCAAAAAATAAGGTAACACTGACTGGTTTGTAGGGGATACTACTAAGTCTTTATTATCCTTGTAGCAGCTGGCTGCATATCAACTGTTCCTGTCCTTGGGGACATAGAAGTAGAGTAAGAAAAGAAGGTGGCAGCATATTCCCCCTGCAAGATTAAAAGAAGGAAAAGTCTCAGGGGCAGTTAACAGAATCATGACCAAAGTTTTAAAGGTTTGACTGTACCTTTGAATCAGTGAGCAACAACCCTGACACAACCCCAGTGGGTAACCCTGCTTCAGCCAGCTGAAGAGGTCTGCTCCAGCAGAACACATTAATTTAGCCAGGGGAGCCACTTACATGGCCCTCAAGAGCCTAACGCCTTTCTCTGCTTTTCTTTCTCCATACTTTCATTTCATGGCTGTTAGCTCTTTTTAGTCTGCCTGTGCTACTTTCCATTATCAGCCTATAGTGTTACTCTCCTCTCACAAAGCAAAGCAAATGGGGAAGGACCACAGAGCTACATTACCAATCTTTAACAATCCACTCAAGAATACACATCAGAAATAAAAGCACCATTATCCTTTTTCTCCAACTCAAGACTGATTGTAGAGTAAGTGAAGGAATAGATGAGTCTTAAGAAGTGAGAGGGACATTTTGTGGTGGATTCATTACTTACTGAATGGCTGAACTGTGATCTGGACATTGCGTGACCTCTTGCTGCGGTCAATGAAATCCCCCGTTGGTGTCTTTTCTCGCTCCGTAACGCGACAGATGTACTTCCCTGTGTCATTTACACGCAAGCGATGCAGCTTCAGAAGGTGCACATTGGGACTTTCTTTACGCACGGTCATGAGTCCATTTGCCTCGCGGTCGATGTATCCAGTGCCCAGGACAGGCACGGCATTGGGGCCCACCATGGCCACCGATGAGCTGCTGAAGACCCACGACACCGAGAAGAATCGCTCAGGGACATTCTGAGCATCGATGGTGCAGCGAAGCTCCAGCGGCTCACCGGCCACGAAGGACCGCCGCTCCGTGCTCACCTGGATGCTGAAGTCTCGATCTGAATGGAAGGAAGAGAAAGAGGGAGGCAACAGTCAGTTAGGCTTAAAAATGTATTTAAATCTAAGAAAGCAGACAAAAAATAAATATTGTAAGAGTGAATATCCTAAAAATTAGCTTCTGATGTCTAAAATCAGATAATTATTTTATAACAGGCATCAGCTGAACTAAACAGATGAAGGCAAGAGCAAAAGAGGGGGTGTGGAGGAAAAAGAATTATTCATAGCTAAAGGGAAAAAACTATGTAAGGTTGAGGTCATTAAGTGCATTGATCTAAAAAGAATATTCATAAAAATCTTTACAACCATTTGCCATAATTCACAACCAGAATTAAACAATAAAATGTCTAATTAAATGTAGCTTAGACTTTTAGCTCGCTGCTTTGTTCCACCCTCCTACACAGTTTAAGTGAACAATTAGAGTTAACACTGATAAGCCAACACTTCCACAAATTAGGCACATTGGTATTTTTGTTCTTGTTTGTGTCTGTGACCATCCACTCACTTTTATTTCTTACAATATTTTTCATTTAATCAGCTAGCAACTCCCTCATGTGACCACCCTCATTTTAATGATATACAGTACGTTATAAACGGTGTTTTAGAAAAAATATTCATGTGGACAATTTCAAAGTCTGCTCTGGTTCAAAAGCAACAGATGTAAAAGCATAAATAGGAGGAAAATACTAATTTACATAGCACAGCAGAGACAAACTGATCAAGACTGCTGAATGTTCTATGCCAGGGGTCTTCAACGTTTTCTAGGCTAAGGACCCCCAAACTGATGGCGAGATGGAGCAGGGACCTCCTAATTTTATATATATAGTATGAAATTGTGTTATATCAAACTATTCCTATAGTCACTCTCTTACAGGTGGAGTAATGTAACAAAAGTAATTTCTCCCTGGGATTTTTAAGTATTTCTGATTCTAATTCCTGGTTGATGGGAGAGGTGTTGTGAATGAAACGGTGGCCAGCTTTGAAAGAGCTCCTGTGTGTCGCTGAATGTGTGCATTGATGACTGAAAGACATCTTCTGCCTCCATTTATCTGTTTACTACAGTGTATAAAAAAAAGTCTAATCGACCAAAACTTTTGCGACCCCCAAGCAGTACCTCCGTGGACCCCTAGGGGTCGTGGACCAACTGTTGAAGACCTCTGTTCTATGCAATCCATCCCAGTTTAATCTATTCCATAGTTTGCCTGTTTTGTTTCTGTTTTTGTAACATATTTGAAAATACACATTTTTGCTTTTAGGTGTTTTAAAGAAAAAAAATTAAGGGTTTTAAGTATAATATAAAAATGGATAAAGGAAAACTCTTTAGTTAAAGAAATAACATGTTCTTTGATCTTTAATTTCTTCATTTTCTTTCTTAAAGAAAGAAAGTTAAGGATTTTAACTACGATGGTTCAAAGTCAACTCTTTACTCAGGTTTCAAAATGAAGACAAATAATAACTTCTCTCTTTCATTTATGTTTCCTTTTAGATATATGAATGGAAGAAAAAAAATCCCTGGGAAAGGACATGTAAAGATTTCAGTTCAATGGCACCCTGGGCATTATCTATTCTAATAGAGCTAGTTGACTTTTATTTATTGAAATTCTTGGAGATTAATTTACAATATGATAAGTTTGACTCTGGGACTCTCAATGAAGTAGGTAAACGTAGCACTAAATATGCATAAGTAAAATGCAAGAGGAAAGAAGAACAGTGAATAGATAAAAAAAAAAAGGATAATCTATGGCTACGAGATCAGTAAATTATGTTTTGAGGATATTTGAATTAGATCAATGTAACTGATTGGCAGGTGAACCAAACATCATTAAAACTCTCCAAAGTGCTTTAAGACCTGGCTGAATTTACAGTAATGTGACAGAGGATAGGCTGCAGTTCTGGTGAGGTATTCCTCATTTTCAATATGTTGTTGTTTAGATGAAGGTAAAGAAAAAGTAAATAAACAGAAAAGTAAAAGAAAAATGTAAATTTCATTTGGTTGGATAGGATTTAAGAAGGGAGCAGGGTGAGAGACAGGAGAAGGAAAGATAAAGTGAAAGATGCATTAGGATTCTGTCTGTTACTTCTCTCCCTAATGGTGGCTGTGGGTGATTAGCTAGTGATGAGGCTGTCTTGAGATCCACTCCATCTTTTATAATAGAAGCCTAATGGAGGAGCTGCTGTCTCCCTGTCTATTTCTTATCGCACACACTCTGTCAAATATCCCCCTTAAAACAGGTAAAACATAAAACAGGCAACTTTAGCCTTAAGGCATGCAAGCGGCACCCTCGTAATGTGATAGACACACCAAAACAAGTGGAAAGGAAATATACACACATACCAAAGTTTAAGCACTTGGGTATACAGCTGCATACTGCCGAGCAGCTGCTTATTCTCTTTGTCATGCAACAATAAAGGCATCAATTATAGATTATAAGAAAGACAGAGTGACAAAGGGTGTTGGGGGTTGAGCTTTTCATTGCCTTTGTCTTCTCCCCATAGTAGCATGAGCTAATCTCAAGTTTTATGGAATATCTCACTTCAGCCGCTTGTTCTCATACATGTTGTGCTATCTAGGGCACCATCGAGTTGCGTCAGGCAACAGCGGATCGGTGCTTAATGGACAAAGGCAAAACGATTTCTACTTTAAAGTGATTTGCTGGCGTGAGACACTCACCAAAGCAAAAGGCAAAGCAGTTTATCACCCGAATCTTTGGCCTTTTCTCAGAAGCACATTGTCTCTTTATGTGCATGGAATACATTACAGAAAGTCTGAAGTGCTTGATAAGATCTATGCGGAGCAAAAAGTTATGAAGCTGCTTTTGTTACGTGTCCTTCTAGTCCATGAGGAGATTGAGAGCCTGTTCAGATGATTATCTAATGAGACATACTCCAGTGCCACCCACCCAACCATGTTCTTTTGACCTTTTTCATTTTTCCCCTAAACAATCCCTCTCTAAATCATCTCAGACTCTTTTGCTGCCAACATCTTGTAACCGAGAACTCCAAAATGAATGTGCTGTTATCACAGAACCCTATGGGGTTATGGCTGTTAGATACAGTGTAATGTTGCTTAAACGTACGTCCTTTTCTTAAGAGTTTGTATTCTGCTAGGATCCATTTGATTAAGAAGTGGATATGCTGCATAATGGAGTAGTTTTTAGCATTGTTGTTTTGCATTAGTGCTTGGTATGAATTCTGACCTCATGCCTTCTGCTTAGAATATGCACATGTGATTGCTGTGTCTCTCTAGGTACCCCTGCAGCTAAATTGGTCTTAATTGCAATTCTCTACTATTGGATGAGCACAGGGTGTACCTTACTATAAGCCGCCCCCACTGTTTTTTTTTTCAACACTTGAAACCTACATATATTGGCCGCACTGGGCTATAAGCTGCTGATATCTACTCAACTGTCCCCCACCAAACCTGTAGGGGGAGCTCTACATTTCACCCCTAAAGTAGGAATGAAGAAGAATGCTGCGGTTAGCTCTTTATTTCAGCTCTGCAGGAGTTGCACACATTCTTCATTGATTTGACCGCTTTAAATCAGCAGATAAATGTCAACAAATGTGTAAATTCGGGGCATTTGTTCTCCGAAATGTCTGCTGCTAGCATGTGCTTCTGCTAAATGACTTAGACTTGGATTTATTTTGTCATTTTGTATACACGATTGTAAACAAAAAGAAATTTCATTTAAAACAGCCTTAAAAACAGTAATAAATACATTAAAGGGAAAAATAGTAATATAAACATATGATTGTATATTTACAATTCTAAATTTTTTTTTAGATATATATAAATAAAATAACCCATTTTACACAACATTCAGCAGTCTAATGAAAATGAAAATAAAAATGAAAATTAAATGAAAATTAGCTTCATCATTTTTGATTTCCAACTTTTACCTCAACCCCCCGCCGGTGATGAAAGGTCCACAGAAATGCCACGCCTTTGTAACCGTGTGGTTCAATGCATGGGAGAAAAATAGCGACTTATAGTCCAGAAAATAGGGTAACATGGAATTTAACTTCCTAACTTACCAAGAACATAAAGCTCTAGCACAGCAAGCCTTAGGATTTACCTGACAGTGGTTTTTAACTTCCGCTAAACATTAAGTGTTTGATTTTTTACAAACATTAACTTGTTTACAATCACAAAGCAAATATCATACATTTAAAGATGTACATGGAGGCTAAATAGGACATAGCTTATATAAACCTGCTGACAATAAGAAGACTGTCTCCTATCCCTGCACCTAACCTCAGAGCTCACACAGGCCCCAAAGAAAAGAGATCTAATTTTCCCACATGCTTAAATCACACACTGCTGAAAACTCTCCCAACTTACTACCATCCTTCACCTTCTGAGTCTCCTTTTGGTCCATTTCCTTTTTCTACATACTTTTTATTTATTCTCTTCTTACAGATTTTGTACAGTGTCTTACTGATTTTAGAAGAAAATCATTTGCAATTCTGAAATTTGAACCATGCGCTGCCTGGGGACATTTGTTTATTTGTAAAACACGAGTCTCCCATGTCAAACACACATACTGTTTGGAGACATTTAAATATATTCTTGGATTTGGTTGTAATATTGCCCATCAAACAGACACAAATACAAAGTGGGGAGCCTGTAGAGGTTTAGTTAAGCCCTTTTTAGTAAGCTAATGAGCTTAGCGTGAGATACTGATCAGCAATCAGAGGAACCCAGCCCACATGCAGGCGTGTGTGTCTATCAAAAGGACAGAGGGGATCTAGACTGATGTGATAACCTATTTTTCTCTTTGGTTCCCACAGAAACGCTTCTCTCTAATGTGTGGATGTGAACCACAAGATGGAAGGGGATAACTGTTGACTGATTGGAGTTGGTGGTTAAATGCCCAGTTTTTCATTATCCCCGTGTTAGTGTCTTTGTGCATTGTACATTTGTTCAGGAAGCAATGGTTGCAATGGTGTTCTTTTCATGCTCATACACTGCTAAAATGGTGAGAGGCTGGTTATGAAGCATCTTTTACAATAACCCAGTTAAGCCAAGAGCATAAGCCAGGTGCATTTAGCAAAACTAAATTAAAAAACTTTTACTATGGATCTAACTCCCGACCTAACTATTGAATCTATGGGCCCCGCTTTAAAATGTGAATGCTACATGTTCCTTAAAATGCATTAATATATTTTAAAATGGCCCTGTGCAGGTCTGTAGCAAATATCAATCTAAGAACTTACAGAGACATTTTAGAAACACATAAGTAAGCTTTACTTCGGAGAGAGACAAGTATAAACAGAAAAAGGTTTTTAAAAATGTCAATTTTCTTAACATTTTTAAAATATAAACTTTTAGTGACACAGAATCAGTTTTAAAATCCAATAAAAGGGTATTTTTCTGTTCTTCAGTGCTTCTATTCTCTCCATCCATAAATATTTAGCTGATTCACAGGATATTAGTTTAATGACGAATGGTTTAATACTGTAGTTTTTCTGTGTGATTACAATTAATCTGTAATCAATTTAAGAATTTCATTTGTTACAAATGTGTTTTGTAAAATATTTTGACTAATATGCTTTTGTTAAAAAAAAGGAATTGGATTTCTGCTCTGAATAAATTTCTCAAATTAATATAAATATAAGGGGATAATTGGGTCTTTTGTGGGACTTTTTTTCCCCAGAGAACTTTGAATGCAACAAAGAAATCTCTTTCAGTGAATTTAATTAGTAAAAAAAGTATAAGGACTATGAAATAAACTAAAGAAACTTTACAAGTGTTAATTATCAGCCTTTGCATTTCACAACAGAGCACACATTAAAAAGTATGGTTTTGGCAAAAACGTTCACCTTTATTTCTCTCCAAAGATTTAGTCTGTAATCTCCAAAATTAGAATTTTACCTTAAATATTCTCATCTAAATGTAAGCTATATGCAAGGTAAACTGTGAAAAGAGGTTTGGGACCTTGAATGCTTCTTTTATGTGCATAGTTAAGTAATTTATGTAAAGTGTCTGTTTTGTTTGGAAACTAAAGGAATCCTTTCATCACTGCTCATTTGGAATTAATGTTTTCCTCTTATAGTAAAAGACCAACAAGAAAACCACTACCACAAATAAAACATTTTTCTATTGCCATTTAGTTATTTGATTCAGCTCCCTATTTATGAATAAGAAAGTGAAAAAGTGTATTGATTGTTCCCAAGAAATTGCTGCACTCTGATTTAATGTGTCTCAGTTCACACAGTCTGAGTCATTATCTGGAGTGCACCTGAACAAGTGGAAACATTTTCTAAAATGCATCAAAGCACCCACCTTTGTAAATAAAAACAATGCAATTCGTTTGATTTGTCATTTGTCATGAACTTGACCATATTACGAGGTTTAAATGTTCACTCACCAGTGGGCTGTATGCGAAGTTGTGTTTTTTCACTCTGCTTGCGGATCATCGCAAACCAGCTTCCGTCTGGATCCTGGATCCATTCAACAGCCTGACAGTAGAGCAATCCCTGGTCTACTGGCTGAAGCTTGTGAATGGTCAACCGGTAGGATGTGGCACTGGTTTTATCCAGCCTGAGATCCCCCGCTGCAATCCTCTGCCTATAATGTGCTCCAGAGCGCAGGACAAAGTCCCTGGACAGAGTGACCAGCTCCTGAGGTGAGGCAGCTGTATCTTCAGGGGATCGGAGAAACCAGCCAACCGACAGGTGGGTGTGTTGCATTGTGGTCCTAGACACCTCACAGTTGAGCTGTAAGGTGTCACCCTCCACTTTGGACAAAGTCTGGGGAGGTGCCGTTACTGTCAACGAGTCAGGGATGACTGAAAAAAGAAAACAAATATGAAAGTTATTATTACCATCACAACTGTAAACACTTATCACCAAAGTTGTGCTTACCCAGCTTAACATTTAGTACCTTATAACAGTATCTCTATACCTGTGTGACTTTATGGTCACTTGAATTTTATGAGATAGACCTTCAAAAAACAGTACACATTTATAAAGTGAAGAAACTGATAAGTTGTTTTAATAGGAATTTATAAATATAGGCTTGATGTGCCTGTGTTTAAATTCTCAGTCATCCGGGTCACTCTGGTGTGAGGCGACAGAATTGACAAAGACTCCCAGAGAGTTTTTGAAACGTCTTCAGAAAACACTGAGCAAAGTCAGATTGCCTTCCAAGTTAAGCCTGTTGTGTGGATGGGCTTGATAATAAAGCATGGTTAGCTAACAGAATCAATGTTTAAGCTTTCATCCAAAGTTATGGCCCAACTTCAAACCCACAAAGACATAGCTTTCCATCTAACTGAAAGGCGGGGCGAGGAGATCCTTATTGGAGAAGCAGCCAAGAAGCCTGTACCAAGTATGGCTGACAGAGATCAAAAGCTCAGGTAGAATTAACTGTGGATATGGCAACTTAGTAAAACCATTTGTCATGAACTCAACAAATATGGTATTTATGGAAGACAGGAGAAGAAGAAAGGCATAAGAAAAAAATTATCAAAAAAAGATAATGTTTTTTGATAGAAGGAAACGAAGCACAAGACATGGAAGGTATATCTTTCAGCAGAGAAACGACCTTGTCGTACAGCTGGAGCTACAATTATATGGTTTAACAGAAAGCATATTGAATGGCCTCAGAGAAATCCAGGTTCCAATCCAAACTTCATATATTTGCTTTTAAAATGTGCAAGGCCCTGTATCTGTACCTCTGCTGTATTTCAAATACAGTGTTTAAATACCATTTTTGGTTTATCATACCATTATGGTATTGAGAAAATAAACACCCATGTAGCTTTAAGTGACAAATAGATTCATAATGAGAGGAAGGTGTAAGGAAAAGGTGTTAATGATAACAGTCTATTGTTCAAATGTGGCCGCCCTCTATTTTCGCATCCATAAATGACTTTCACATAACACTGTGCACTGATAGCTTTTTTCTCTATCTTGCTCAGCCAGATACCTCTAGGGATGTTCCTAACACTGCTTTCAGTGATTATATACAATATTGATTGATAAAACTAAGAAAACCTAAGATTCATTCCAAAACATCTAAAACATTTGCATGAATACCACATGAACTAAAAATAATTGCATAAAGATAAAACTGACTTATAATAGATTCAGCGCAGTAGAAATAAGGGAGGGGGGTATAGAAAAAAAGCCAGATGGCTTAAACAGAAGAGATGAGAGAGAGAGACACTCAGGTGCAAGAAAGGAAGAGAGACATCAAGATGTGAGAATTTAAGAAGGCTGGAATCGCTCAGCAGAACGACAGAAATAAACATGTAAAGCTTTTTAAAGAAACACGTTTAGCTGAGCGAGTATTTTTGGACTTGTACCAGGGAGCCACAGTGCTGTATATCTATGTGAGCGTGGAAGATGGAAAAGGAGGATTTCAGACAGGAATTAAGACGCTAGAGTTTAATACCTTATTTAGAGCTGAATTCTTGAAAGGTCAAAACGTCAGCAGGGCACAATACATTACAAAAAGGACAGGAATAATGCATTTAGGGAATTAAATGTATTCAATTTAGAATACATAAGCTGGATATTATAGGGGAGTGATATGATCAGGAGTAAATCTTTGCAACCAGAAAGTCATAATACACTGTGTTTTCAACAAGTTCAGTGTTTTTACAGAGCTATATGGCTACTGGCCAACTGTCACCATTAATAATCTGCATGCTCAAGCAGCATTATTACATTTTTGACCAAAACCAGTGCAAGACATAAGAAGAGGTGTTGAAATTTTTGCACAAAAGGTGAAAAATATACTCATGATAAAGATGCAACAAAATGCAAAAATAGTTTAAAGTAAATAATCAGGCAGAGGTTGGATGTTGATTAGAATGGGCTTGGATTTTCAGCTTGATCCATTCATAATCAGTGACTGATCAGTCTGAAAATCAGATCTCTTTTCAGTAAGAAATCAGTAAACCCACATCAAGTCTTCAGTAGACTTGCAGCAGAAGAAAGGGAAGGTTGAATTAAAAAAAGAGCAAAAACTGTTTTAAAAAGGGTTCATATTTTACAATTACTGCTTATTTTGTGACGCTAGCTATATTATGATCATTGGTGTGTCTTATAAGTAATTTCTTTAAAAGAAACCGGTATTACAGATACTTACAACAGTTAGGGATTTAAAATAGGTCCACAAAATATCTGATTGCTGTATCTGTAAAACTGCAGTCCATTTTGTAACGGTAGAGCTCCACTGTACTCTCTTTGCCTTTCTTGGATGAGCTGAAAAAAATACTATCCCAAAAACAGATTAAAACTGAAACCTGTACTAATCTAATGTGGGTTATCTTCTTTAAGAAATCAACTGCTGATAATCTTTAAACATATACCCTCTTTAGAAATAATAATAATATTTGGCGTCAAGTTTAACTCAAAAGTACAGTTTTCAAATGTGGATAAATTAAGAGACTACAAATCACTGTAATGGTTTAGTGTTAAGACGGCAACAATGGCAAATATTTAATAATAGTAAAGCAATAATTAGCTAACACCATATTATTATAATACTATTAGCACTTGATTAGATGGTAGTGTCAGTTTGCAATAATATGCCAACAATGAATTTACTGCGGATATGTAGTAATTACCACATTAGCCTTAATTACAGATGAAAGAAACATTAACCTGCACTCTGCTCTGAATGTAGATATTACACTGTTAAGAACAATAAAACTACATCTTCTAAAGTGTGTCTGAGCTTTAAAAACAAAGTGAGGTATAATGACAGAAAGATCAGGAATCAGCCACTGCTAATTAAACAAATGGAAGAACAAAAACAAGAGGATGAAAGGAAAAACCCTACAGCATCTAGAGTGAAGAGGCTTGACATTTGGTTGCTTTGGTTTAACAAGGCACTCTGAGACAAACAACAATAAAGCAAAAGTAGCAGGAAATGAGCGTAAAAAAGAACCAAGTGGGCCAGTTTGAGTTGCACTCTAATGAGGTGCTACACTCAGGAGATACATAAACTAAGTCAAGACAAGACCTAACTGTGTTCTGCAATACTTTGCCACATTTTTGAAAATAAAGATAGGCTCTGACTGAAAGCGATCTTTAAATTGCTCCAGTTGAGTGTTTCAAAAGCCATCTAGCTTCAAGGGATACAAATGAAAGTCGTAGGCAGTAATAAAAAACTCATAAACCTGTCCTGTTGGTGCATTTATTTGTGGGCTGCGGGATAAAAATTACTAAAATATGAATCATTCCCAGTATGTGTTTGTGCTGTTTGAAAAGCCTTACATTTTCCACCGATTTGGGTTGAGCATTTGTTAGTAATGACTATAACATCTCGGTGATAACTCAATCCAATCCGCTTTTAAACTTGTTTTCTTCTACAGGAATATTTTAGAAGGACAGATCCAGCCTTTGGCAGTATCAAAGCTGGAATCGAGTTACTTCAAAGCCTATTGTTCAGAACTTCTGAACCAGAGCCGACTATAGGTGCTCTCTGCTCCACTGGTCATTGGCTGATGGCCTCTCTTTTATAGCTCATTCCTCAATGTCCATTATGGTAAAGGCAACATTGAATGATGTGACCTTAAGCCCTCTGCATCTTACCTACAGTGGTAATCAATTTTCACCTTTAACACATAGTCTTCAAAGGGTGACAATTCTTTTATACTTGGAGAATTTTGTTTCGAAGGCCTTTTAAAGGTCTTTCAGGCGTGGTAAGGCACAGTCAGCTCCGATAATAAGTTGTGCTAGTTGGAGCCCGACCGTCACTTCATTTATTTTCAAAGTGTTTTTCAGAGGATTTCTGCACATTCTCAGGTCTAAAATATGTTTCCAACTTAAATTTCTATCTACAGATACATAAGAATATCTTGTTCATTCTTATCCTCAATCTCAGGGCAAGATTTGTCGCAGGTGACGAGTTTAAGACTATCGCATCTTCCACAGGAGTTAAACCTTAACCTGCCAAAACAAAGCTTTGGATAGCTCAATGCCCGTTCCATTAACCTTAAAATTCAGTGCTGGGAATGGTTTCAAATCCAACCTGACCAAGAATAATTACAAACAGAGTTATACATTGTATGTTGCTTTTCATTGTGTTAGAATCTATTATAACCCACTCATTAAATCAGATATTTTGGATTAGGCTTATGGGATTTAAAGAGTGGGATTGCTACGTAGTCAAAATTCTAACTGACGTTTTGATTTTATTTCTATTGCTGTAAGCCCAGATAGTACAACTACCGAGTCAATATGGAACATGGCTTCAGTCCTGCTGAATGTTCAAATAAGTGCCCCAGATTTACCAACGAAGTATAACTTAATTGAAGAAGAAACAGGATTTATCAAAAGTTTTTCCTGTCCCCTGTTTCCATTAAGGCTCACATTACCCTTATTTCCATGAAATATGTTGGGCTACCAAGCAAGAGCTTAACTTCAAGAGAAAGACACTTAAAATTTGGATACATCCGAAGAGTAAAACACCTGGTGGTAAATCGCACATTTTAGCATCTCTAAACTGCTCTTACCCATCTTTCACATAGCTGTTTTAATGAACAGTTGGATTCTAAATAGGGCTGAAACAATTAATCGGTTAATCATGATGAATCGATTATTGTCTTTATGTCAGTGGTGGGTCCATCAGGTTGTCTTACGGCCTGTTTTAAGATAGCTGGACTGATGTTGACTAAACGGTCCGAAACTCCCATCTACAGATCCTCTGTAGTTAGTTCTGCCAGGGTGAGATGTGCTCGTAGTTAGGATGTTAAGTTGTCTCTTTTAAGTCAAGAATGAGTGAATGGCAGCCTCAAATAGCCCTACAGTTACCACAACAACACACCTACGC